CCCCTCTAGGCATCGTTCAGCACGAGCTGTGGTTGGCGCCCCTCTGGGAATTGTTCAGCACGAGCTGTGGTTGGCGCCCCTCTAGGCATCGTTCAGCACGAGCTGTGGTTCGCGCCCCTCTAGGAATTGTTCAGCATGAGCTGTGGTTGGCGCCTATCTGGGCATCAGTATAATCTTGGCAACTGCCGTTTGAAGCTGTTGCGTCAACATGGACCACCCAGCTGACGCCGCTAACTGGTGAAGGAAAACCAAATGATGTAATTTAATTATCTTCACTGAATGAACAGGTAATGGACTTTATATCAAAATGTTTTAGTGAATTGTCTTGAATGAAGTGTCTCTCACTGAACGAAAGTAGTTTCGAATCAGCACAGCCTCTTGGATGGCACTATTTACAATTAATTTAAATTAATGTAGCAAAATTGGGTTGTCTGTGGCATTTCAAAAGGATGACCAAAATTATGAACTTTAAACTTAAAGATTCCCTCAAACCTAAGGCAACTGGTAACTGATTGCTATATGACTTGATAAAGAGAAACGTCTGCTCGTGCCCGGTGCACTTGTGGAGTGCCAAATCTTTACTTTAAAACCTACTGCGATTTCTGACCAAAATACATACATTGCTGTCGACTATTCCAAATTCTGACACTCCCTCAGAGGTATGTGTTCATATCTTGTTCTAAATTTCCTTAACTTATTATCATGAATATTGTTTCATGAGGCACAAAGTCACGAATAAAGCCTGTTTTAATTTCAGACTAGTTCATAATTTATTTTTTGCTTCTACAATTATTAATACTGTACAATTTTTCTCCTGAAGTGATATGTCCAGTGACTCTTTGGGTGTCGTAAAGATGTACAGACTCCTGACCCTAACAATTGTTTTGTCTGAGTGGAATTGACCGATTGCATCCACTAAGTCAGGTAACCTATGGGTGTCAAACATCAACAAATATGGCATCCTCCCATAGCAAAGTGTGTTGTATTGTTCATCAAAATGAAGCTGCTTTTCGGTATAGCACTCAGCACATCAGTAGTCTGCGTATTGAACCGACTGTCAGCATTCTTTTGGGTAAATGACAATTATGACACACTTTGGAAGGACGCCATGTTTGTTGATGTTTGATACCCACTCTAGGTCATGTGACTTAGCAGGCTAAATCGGTCCATTGACACAGGAAGAGTCTTGGGCCTCCATCTGTTAAGCCATTACAACTACGTTGAGAATTTTGCCCATCGATTTTTCTTTAATCCTCAACAAATTTACACCTCAAGTCAGTAAACAGAGACAGAAACTGAAACTGCTGATCAGAAGTTGTGAGAAAATGAGACAGTCCAAAAAGCAGATGGAAAATACTTCATTAATTTCAACCTATCAATATGTGCTTTTGCAAATAATTTCTTGAGCTGCAGAAATTGTTTTGATATTGAAAAATAATTTATTCAGACTTCTTTAAAAGTAACCGGTTGCAAGATGAAGGGAATTATCTTTTACCTGCTGCAACCTTGGCTAGCGAGGAAGCTTCAAAATTCCTTTCTTCTTATAAAATGGTAACCATCAACCAATCTCCTGCGTGAAAGAAAGGAAAAGCATTCATTTGATTGCAAAAACCACCGACATTTGTGGAATGAAAGTCTAAAATTTAGTCACGTATTCTAGTAGTAAGCCTTCAATCTCCGGCTACAATTTCATTCCTAAATGCAGTTTATTAAAATGCTTTAAGGATCCACAATTTTAAGGTCTTGTCTTGGTTCTAAAGTCCCTGGTCAATGGCTACACTGTGAATGCTGAAATGCATCCGGTGACTGATTCCTTGAAGATATCCCTATGACCTTTGTGCTCAGTTAATTTAGACCTTGTATGCATTTCAGTTTTGTGAGGCCACATGCACTTTCAAATGCAACTTCCTAAAACGAAAAAGGAAACCCGGATGTTGGGGTGAAATTCAAACTGAACAAACTTTTTCTTAAAAGTGGATAGTTCCCATTTACCAGTCTCCACCAATTTATTCTAGGGAACACTAGGTCAGATTTGTAATGACTTGAGTCAATGACTTGACTCAAGTCACAATTTTTGTCGACTCGACTCAAGTCCCGATGGGTAAATGACTTGACTCGAGTCTCTGCGACCAAATGGCTCGACTCGACTTGAATCTGTCATGGAGACTTGACTCGAGTACAAGCTTTTAAGACTTGAGTCTCACAAAAATTAAAAGCAAAATTTTAGTTGGCTAGAAACATGTCACCCTGATTCATTTTCTGTAAGTCTATAAAGAAAATAAAAATACCAAAATATGACTGACCTGTAGTTGTGTTTATATTGTATTTTGTTCAAAAATTTTTGACTTAAATTGACTTGAGCTCGGTACTTGACTCAACTTGACTCCACAAATTAGTGACTCAACGTCTTGACTTCCTGACTTGACTCGAGTCACAACATTTAAAATGACTCAAGTAACGAAATTCAGTGACTCTTTATAACATTACTTGAGATGAAAAATGATAAATAAGCCAAAATATGCTAACTTTATGCTGTGGGTTGACACTTTCTACCGCGCATGCTTAAGGTGTGTTGCATTCCTTGCTTATTTCATCAGCGACCTTCAAACATTTCAATATATCGAACCTCTTCGATCATTTTGGAATCACATTGTGGAATGAGGGAAGGCTTCAAAGTAACTTTGGACTGGCATGACCATTCGATCAATAAAATCCAGTCTAAAAGAACAAAATCTGACAAAGATTCTTTTTCCCAAAATGTGAACTACAAATGTGACACTTTGATGGTTCTGATGACCGACTTTTAGGTAAACCTCACAAAAAAACAACCGTTCTCTTTACTTTAGGTTAGAAACTTTAGGAAGACGAGCTAGTTTCCACTGCACAGGCAATGCTGCTGATGGTCACACGCTGGCCTGCAGTGGAACCAAAGAGACAATTTATAAATATCATTCTGTTTCGGTTACTGCCAAATTGTTAGTATATAAATCAATGAATAAAGAAATAGGTTTTATGACCATATCCAGTGAAGTATCCACGTCCTCGCAGTCAGGGGGGTAAGGGTTATCCCCCCCCCCAGATATTACATCACTTGTTCATAGTTATTTGAAAAATGTTCACTGTTTGAAAAGTAATCCCAAAAGTGTCCGTATTATTACATGTGAAAGAAGTATCGAGTTACAAAACATTGAAATTCACATTTTGGAATCCCACAATCTCTCTGTCCATATGGCCAGTAAAGATGAGAGATTTATGAATGTGACATACCATGAAAAACAACTGAAAAGTTGTCAAACCTTCCTTGTAATTTACACTAAATACTTTTTTCAATGGAATTAAAAAAGATGTATTTATGAACAGGTTTAATGGGGAACAGGTTCTTCAAGGAGGCCCATCTGCCAAGGTTGGAAACACAATTGCACATACCTCATGAGGGTCAAAGGTGAACCTATCCAACAAAAGAATAAACAACACTAAAGCTATTTTGTTTATTGGACTTTCAGTATCAGAATGGATTAATCAAGTAAGTGGGCATTATATTTGGATGGCGCACCGGAAAGAATTCAGGTGGGCTATGGTAGTTTACGTATAGAAGGTTAGCACTGATGTGAACTTATCCTCTTGTGTTTTGAGCAAAAGGAAATTTCAAAAACACTAATAACAGGTTTTGATGTGGCGCTTTTAACCAAGATTAAAGTGCTTTCCATTATGATTACCCCTGCTCATTGGGCCTATGAAACATTCCAAATACCATCTCAGCTCCCTGGGGAGTACACAGCTCAGTGCTGCCATTTGGGCGTAAAGCGGCTGAATCAATCACAACAACCATGTCTGCCCTCACAGGTACCCAATTACTCCTGGGTGGAGAGAGGCAATGAATGATAAAGTGCCTTGCCCAAGGGCACACGCACCCTGACCCAAGGCTGGATTCGAACCCGCAACCTGCGGCTTTACCTGCCAACTACGAATCCCACGCTCTTAACCACGAGGCCACAGCATTCCAAAATAATGCTATACCGTTGACTGATCACCTGGTTGGATTTGAGTAAACTTATGCGGTTTTTCCATAATTATACATACATTCTGGGGGCTAACCATTCTAAAATCAAGTTTGTTGAAAACAGAAATAATGTAATCCATGTAATGTAACAAAGGATTATCTGTTAGCCACTGCGGAATTTGGCCTGAGGTCTGCCTGGGTACATCATCTCACATTGGCACAATTTGGCTATTAAAAAACAATAGCAATGAGGAAATGTCTCTGAGTTTGATGAAGGGCAGGCTAAATTCTGTATGCAGAAGTGTTCAAATGTAACCCACCTCTGCCCTGCTAATCAAAAGCATGATTAGAACATACTTGCAGTAAGAGGCCTGAAACCGGGCTGGATTTCTCGCATGATTGGCTCAAGATGACTAGCCGGTTGATGAGCAGATCGGTTTATGATCTTTCTGGATGACTAGTTTGCTAGATACGGTAGTCTGAGGCAAGTAAAGTACAAAAAGATAAAAGACAAAACAAGTGAAACCAAGTGCAGCTGATAAAATTGAATGTTCATTCTTAAGTCTACAATGAGTACAGTGGTTAACAAATTTTATATATTTTTCCACTTCACACCCTGCACATGTAAATGACTGTATGACCCAAGGAAACCATTTGTGTCCTTGTTAAATGAACTGACTGATATACAGATACCGGTAGACAAATCGATACAATTGTCATCTTGGAGTCAAGTGGTGTCTTCTGAGCTATTAGGAGGGAAATTGCTCATATTATGATAAAAATGATTATTGTTTTATGATCACAATCATTTTATGAATCATGTATTTAATTGCTGTCACATCTCAGGTAGTTCAAAACCACACTGTCACTTGTTTTTCTGCCTCAACAGAGCTTATCAAAGCATTTCACCACACTAATGCCAGATGCTGGTAAGCCATAAAGCAGTGAAAACTCAATATTCTAACAATACTTTTTGGCCCTGGCCAACCAGTGATGACAACCCCCACCCCACACCTGCCCCGCAGACCTCCATGTTGACAGCATATGGAACAAGTTAATGCTATGGCTCTACAGGAGGTGTCCCATCTGATAGCTTTGACAAATCACAAGCACCTCTATAGAGCCATCCTACCACATGACGACCCCCCCCCAAGAAGAAATAAGCATTTACTCGCTAGGTTTCACTGAGAGAGTTCAATATATGGACAACCTAATCTTCCCTTCAAATGTTTGTAACAGACATCGGAAAGTGACATGTCCTAAAAAGTGAATATAAATTTAGCTGAGAAAATTCTGATGCGTTCACAAGTCTCATAACTTTGTGTACCGGGCATTTGTGTTGTCCGTATATGGAACTCTTTCTGGTTTCACTTGCGTACTGAAGGACACCCCATGCAGGCACTGCAGGCTTAGCCCGTGCATGCCGTGGCGGCATGCAGAGAGATCCCGGGTGAGAACTGGTAGGAAGTTGTGAAATAAGTAGCCTAATTGGTACATTATGTCCGTCATGAGGAAAGACTCCAGATTGCTGGAACTACCCCCAGAAGTGTCCTACGTCCGCCCCGCTCCTTCCATCCAGCGGGGCGGACGTCGAACCATGGAGGTAGAATCACAATTCTGGGGATGGGGGTATGCTACAACCACACCTGTCTTGAAGAACAGGGACCTAAATACAAGGACCGATTTGAAAAGTCTTAAATGATGTAAAGGATCTATGAAAAATTGGCATCAGTTGGGTAAAATTTAAAAAATCTTACCTTAGAGTCAGATTCGGCTAGCGCTCAGACCGGGTCTGTACACTTGTACTTGTTGACACTCTACCTGGCACCACTTTTTAGCTGGAACGATTGGTGGCGCTCTTTGAATGTGCCTCCAGAAAAAAGTCCCAAAGTCGAAATTATTGTCACAAAATGAAAATGACGTGTTCCCCTGCTAATATATTTTTACGCATTTATCTGGCAAAGACTGATCATTAGTAGGGCTACTGGTGACGGTGAATCAACTTGCTACAACCGGGGGGGGGGGCAGGGCAGGTTTTATTTTTACCAGGGAAACAGTTTTACCGTTTACACCGGGCGCTGTGGAGGTGAAAAAAGGTGCGGGATGCATGGACACTTAATTGGGAATTATTTTGTTGGGGTGTTCCTGCAGGAAACAATTTAATACAATACACTTCTGCGTAGATCTATATATGTAATCTGCCCTTCGAGGGCGCATTACGTCTATTCAACATTCAACATCCCGCTAAACAAACGGCTGGAAAACTTGTAACCAATTAGAGTAAATAAATTACGGAGTGCAATTAACCATGACCAATCAGATTTCAGCGTGCGTTAAAGCGCATTTATGTACATGAAAGACACTCGTCACACTTGGTAATAAAAGAATGTTTATCATGTTTGCAAAGAAAAAAACAAACGGAAATTAATTAGAAAAAATCCAATGATCGACATTCCGCAAACGCCTCTGAACCAGTAGCATTAGAGCGTGTTGCTTACTGGTTACTGCTTTGAAGTTCTGTCGTCCCGGCCCAATCACCTGGACCCATACGGTTGAATAAGGCAACCTGCTCCAGAAGCCTAGTAAAGTTGTGGACATCGAGACAGAAAATTAAAAACAGGCATGAAACTTGAACTTTGACCAAAATGAGGAAATTCCAGTCATTACAAGACTTTATGTTGTGTTTTGTAAAACGAGGAAAGCCGCTGATCCGAGGAAAAGTTGCATGCCTGTAAAAAAAAAGTACTTTGTATTTTCTGTCCGAATGAAAGAAACTCCAGGTCAAAATGAAAAAAAAAAAGCAGGAAGTTCTGAAAAAAAACCCAGGATTTCTACCTTAACTGTTGATGACGCCGGCAAGATCAATGATGAATGCTCCAAATACTCGGCTCATAAGGTCAGGAATGGAAAGATTTGCGCAATCATATTTCTGGCTAGTTATTGCGTTGCTCGTCTCGCTCCGTTTTTCAATCGTTTCCCCCCCCCCCAAGTTACTACTGGCTCCCGACTGCTTTTTTGAATATATTTAAATCGATCAATCTTCACTTACTGGACTAGGACATAATTCTTGATGAAAGTTGATGTGCACAAAGGCTAGGCCTACTTTCACGATTTCTGTTACTGTTCATAAGCAGTTCACTTGCTCTCACAGTGAAATTAATGTTCAGGATAATGCTGCTTATTCCCGGGTAAGACTTGGAGTGGGGTTGTCAAAAACTGTATGCTATGATGTCCTGCAAAACCACCCAGAAGTTGACATGAATTTCTTTTCAGTGGTAACTTTTGATACTGTGTCATGTATTTTACTTTTGAGTTGCCAAAATGTGGTCTGCAGTTCAAATGTCTTAAACATTAGCATCATTCCTTTGTTCAAATGAACCGTTACAAAAGCAATCTTTTGTTACAATGTTCTTCTTACTTGAGAGCCAACCTCAACTCCACAAGGAATCCTTGTGTTCATGATCTGCTCCAAAGATGTTCTTCTCAGAACAATTGGGATATTCGTGATTTCTTAGAAATATTTCCTGAATTGGTTTTTTTTTCACTCCTGATGGCATCACGAGCCTCCTTAATTTTTGCATTTTCAGCTGTCCTTTTCTTTCTGCACGTGGGATGCTAGCTACTCACTGCAGAAGCTGTATGACAATATAACTTCTTTTTGAATATTTGGAATCACGACCGGAGGCAATTTCGTATGAGGGATGAAAGGAGGAAACTTAACTGCACAAAAAATTCCAAACCTCTAAATGGGACTTTAGAAAGGACTGTTGCTAACTCGGCAAGTCAGACACCCAGGTTCTTTTGAAACCATCCTCCTGTTTTAATACATTTAGTTTGTTTTCATATCAAACTCCAAACTCCAATGCTGATTACATATAATTGGTATAAAATAATGAAATGGCACGTGAAATTGCATTACAAAATAAAGACATCGTACTAAAACCTAAATCCAGTTTCTAACTCAATTCTCAACAAGAAAATTATCCTTTTTAACAAAAGTGGGACGATAGAATTTTTTCTTAACCTTGTGGGCGAAATTAAAGTTAACTATGCAAGACAATGTTTTGTTTTTGGTTGGGGTGGGCACTTTAAAATAGCTGATAGTTATGAAAAATACACTACCACATCCTAAACAAATCATATTTACGCTCTATGCATACTGATGACAAGTTTTGAAAAAGGGCAAATTTGCTAAAGATCATTCTCCAATCGTATATGGCCTAATCGATCCAACCAACCATCCAGCCATCCAAACATGAAAGATACAATTCACACATTTTCCTGTGCAGTTCTTGTAGTTTTAAACTTTACAGTCACAATGTTATTGCAAAATTTTCAAAATGATTGCATTCGAACCGTAATCGTAATCTTCACATCCTATGTACCACAGTGATGACAACAAAATCTGAACTGACGGACAACTGTAAAGGCTGGTTCACACCAGAGGTAAATGTGACAGTGAAACATATTTGACATCACGAAAGATTCGTAGCAAAGTTTTGCTCGACATGAAAAGTGTTCAACTTCAGCAAATTAGCAGCGTGAATATTTGATCTTATCACGACTTCACATTTCTGTTCGCTTTCTTACCAAGTATGAAGTGGCCTTAACTACATGTACGAACAGAGTTCTGTTGCCAGCACAAAATACATGTATCAGCGACGATGACATGTCCGTGATGAACACTACAAATGCTCATCTTCGACAAAGTATCACACCAGGGAATCGAATGATGCCCTTGGAAGTCCGAGTACATCTTTGTTTGCATTCCAGAGAGGGAAATGATTGTCCCTAGAAGCCTCGTGCCCGACAATTGAAATTTCAAGAGCTCTTTCCCTTTTCTGAATGCGCACACACTGCCCAATTTTAACTGGCAGATGTGGTACATCTTTTCGCATGCTCCACATTAAAATATCAGCCCACTATGAGCACAATAAACTTTGGTAAATTAAACACCTCAAAATTACACAATGTGGAACTGTCTAGGGGGAACAAATGACTTCTTTCTGGATATCTCTGTTTTCAAATGTCAGAAGGATAAAGAGTTCTGAACTCTCTTGATTCTGAACATTAGGGAGACATTTGTGTGTTTTCTACACATTATGTAGGGAATTAATGTATGGCCTGGCTACAAATTACGCTGTTATGATTGCTGTACATGTAAACTACAACGAGAAAATGAAGGAAAGCACTATACACTGTACAACGATGCAGCTTTTCTAGAAAAAAAAAATCTCAGTGTAGTGCAAAACTTGTTCAACGGACATGGTCGTGAATCAACGGTGCTACTCTACATAAGCTTGCACGCATCCGCTCTTGCCAGCGAGCAAATGCAAAAAGCTTGACGCTGATTGGTTGATAATGAACGTAGAAGCAAAGGGACCGGGGAATTCAAGCCCGCAGACTCAATCGTTACCACGCATCAACTCATGTCTATACCCAAGCAGACAAGGGGGCTTGACTGCAAATGCACAAGTTTTACGACCTTACGAAAAAAACTGGGGGGTGGGGGGGGAGAACTCTGACACAAAAATCAGATTAACCAAGGGCTTACCCAGTGACCAAGGTTAGAAACCACAGATGATCCTATACATGGACATTCGTGTGTATAGCTTGTACAATAAAAGCACCATAGAGCTATATTGATTACTAGAGCACTAACTTTTCATTCTCGGCGCAGAGAAAATTTGACTCCGTCCTGGGTGCACACATTTTGAATCCGTGTGCCTGCTTATAAAATGTTCAAAATCAAATAGGACGAATATCAAATTATGTACTCTAAATGCAATGCGCATTGGGTACTGCGAAAGTCTGAGTGAAAAAATCACGACAAAATTATCTGCAGCTCACACGTGCATGTTTACGTTGTTTACGCAGAGCAAAATGAAACGTTGAATAACTGATTGTGCATTAGTTTGTTAGCGTAATGGCTTTGTTGATGTATCGTTTTAGAATGCAGATGCAAATATGCATATAGTTGTACAAAAGCTGCCCAAAATAGGTTTGTGCACAAACATGGACGCACCCAACAGGCAGCACTTTGTACATGAATCAGTGCTCTAGTTTTTATATTGCTTTACGGTAGGCACACACTCCAGGGAATACACCACCTCAAAGTTAAGAATGTGTGGGACATGTACATGTATGAATAGCACAGCATCATCTCTGTAATGCCTTATTTAAGTCACTGGCTTTGATAATGGGGTGTGTGTGTTGAAATGGAAATTATACCTGAACGTGTAACATTAACTTTTACATGAAACATCACTAAATATAAAAATTCTATCTAATAAACTATGTACATTCTGAACTTTTCAAAGGATACATTATAACTTATGGAATAATTGCATGAGTGTTATCAAACTTAAAGTATTTACATTCTGCAGTCTGAGAAGTGGTTTCAAAAATCACAGGGAAAAATCCTGGAATTTTGTTTTAATTACTAAATGCCCATGTCTGGTCCTCTCTGCAAATCCGACTCTCAGTGACTATCATAAAAGTTGCGCTAGAATTTTAAACTTCACTTAATTGCGCATGCACTGAGAATGCTGTTTAACAAAAAGATCTAAAACTTAGTCAGGTAACATTTCCTGTTCCCCGGCAAATATATCTTCATGTCAAGCAACAAGTTCTTCCGAGTCGAGTAAATCTCTGGAAATACAAAGCTTATACAAACAAGCACTTAAATGTGAAACTTACTGTTGTTTCAAAAGAGAAAACTCAGCCCCGACTAACCTATGATGATGCACTTGAAAGCGGAAAATCCTGATCTCATTTGTCTCAGGCAACCTGATCAGGCAATAAGACTTCTGGAGCGTTTACATTCAGAATGTCAGAAATT